TCCCCCCAACACCCCTGCCCCCTCCATTCACCCCGCCCCAGATCTTACTACCCTAGTTATCAGCGTCCTTCTCCACCCCCACCCCACCCACCACACCTCTACATCTCTCTCCATAAAAATATAGTGTCTCGTTCGCTTAGGACATTTATAAAGACATTCCCAGCACGGTGTTAACCATTTAATCCAATCAGCTAATTAATCAATAAACAAACATTACAACGGCAGGCACAGTGCTAGGCGCTAAGAATAGAAAGACAAAAAATAGTCCCTTCCAGGAGCTTGAGGGGGGGGGGAAGGACAAGAAGTAAAGACACAAGTAAATACTACACGTATATAGATAGATATGCAAACACACATACATGTGACAGACCTGTGATTTCATGGTGTAGGAAGAATTTCCTATATCATCTCTTCATTTTAGTCTTAGAAAGTTGCCTGAGTACTGATAATGGCTAATAGCATTTATATAGAGCATAAAATTTGCATATACATACACACATGACAATCATGGAGTTTGAATGGCCCAGAGTCACACAGTTGCAATGTAATGACGTCTCTGCATGTGCGTGTGTGTGTGTGTGTGTGTGTGTGTGTGTGTGTGTGTGTCTGTGTGTGTGTAGTAATTGAGTGGACACTAGTAATTGGGAGGATTAGGAAAATCTTCATGCAGGTGGCGTTTGAGCTAACTTTTGAAGGAAGCTAGGATTCTGAGGAGCAGAAGGGAGGAAGGAGTGCGTTCCTGGCCCGGGGTATAGATAGTACAAAAACAGGGAAAAGAAAAATGACATGTCATTTACAAGCAATAGTAAGTGGGCCGGGTCTAACTCGAAAAGCAGAGGGCCTGAAGGTTAATGGTGTGTTTCCATGTTCCACCGATCTATGCCCTTTAAAAAAGAATCTCTGAGGATGGGGCAGTTTCTTAACCCAGGGATCCTCAGGCTTTTTGAGAGGGAGACATCCCTTTCATTTCCTCAGAGCAGAGAACCTAGGGGCAAGAAAATGAGGTATGAGTCCTATGCTTTATCAGCAGCCCTGGGGGTACAGGGAAGGAGTGCTAGATCAGCAGCCCGGAGAGATCATAATTTGAACTGTACTCCGGGCATTACCTGTGTGAACTTGGTTTCCTCATCTGTGAAATGAGAATAATAATACCACTATCTTACATGACTATCTTAGCGGTCAGACCCCTCCTCCCAACTTAACCAATCTTGACATGATTATGTCAAGCACTTTATAAACCTTGAAACAATGACCATATATACCTTTAGTAACTGTATTATAGGCATCTAGATGGCTCAGTGGATACGGCTTTGGGCCTAGAATCAGGAAGACCTGAGTTCAAATTCGGCCTCAGACACGTGATACCTGTGTGACCCTGGGCAAGTCACTTAACCTTTACTTAGTTGACTGCAAAGGAGGTCAAGGAGAGTTGGACACCACTGAACTATCTGAACAAGAAATGATCTTACATGACTGTTGAAAAGATCAGATGAGATGATCATGCCAAATGCTTTTTTTTTTCAAGTACTTTATAAACCTTAAAATGTCATTTATTATCTGGAGTCAGAGGACCTGGGTTCTTTTCCACATTCTGCCATTTGCTACCTGTGTGATCATGGGTAAGTCACTTAAAAGAAAGCCTTCTGAGCCTTGGTTTCCTTATCTGTGAAATAATGGAGTTGCACTAGAGATGGAATTAAGGTCCCATGCAGCGTTAAATCCTATGATTATTGTCAGTTTTGGGAGGTGGGAAGTAGAACCTGGGTGAGGTGTTTAGGGGAGGAGTTTCTGTCCCCTTCCTGTGGTAATCTTAGCAAATAAGCTGATCCCATGGCATCAGCAATCAGACCACACAGAGATCTATCAAATAATGCTCTGAGATCAAAGGGAGTTGAACAATCAATCTACTGGCTAGGGATCACTGCCTTATCTAAAGAAAAGTATTTCCTTTTAAAATAAAAAGTAAATGTATTGTTTTTAACATTCATTTAAAAATTTTTGCAGTCCAAATTCTCTCCCTTTCTCCCCTGCCCATTAAGAAGCAATATGATAGCAAGTATACATATGAAATCATGCAAAACATATAGGAATGTGTTTCTAATGAGGAGAGTATTGAATGGCTACTCCAGGGGCTGGTGTGGGGTGAAAGGAGCAGTTTCAAAACGCTTTTGGGCAGGGAGGTCTCTATTACCCAGTCCCTGGAGGCTAGCTCAGAGAGTTAGCAACCTAGCCACTCTACACAGTCTATAAACTAAGGCTTGGAGGAGTACACCTTTGTAATCCTCTCAACACAGCCCCTTCTCTCCTCTTATACTGCCACCACCCTGGCTCAGGCCCTCATTTTCTCAAGTCTGGGCTACTGAAAGAGCCTGCTGGTTGGTATGTGTGCTACAAAGCTCTCCCCATTCCAGTCCAACCTCTCTCCATTTGGCCACCAGAGACTTTCCTAAAGCACAAGAACTTCCAGGTCACAATCCCCATTCTCTGCTTAATTTACTCCAATAAGCTCCCTATCATTCCCAGGATCAAATATTGAAAAAAAAATCCCTTGGCATTCAAAGCTTTTCATAACCTAACCCACTCCCTTACCTTTCCTCACTTGTTACACCTTATACAAATCCCTACCACCCCACCCCATGTACTTTTTGGTCCAGTGACACTGGCCTCCCAGCTGCCCTTACACAAGACCCTGGGCAATTTCACTGGCAGAGCCTCACACCTGGATAGCTGCCTCCCTCTTCTTCTCTGCCTCCAGAATTTCTTGACTTCCTTCAAGGCCCAGCTAAAAATCCCAGGTTCTATAGGAAGCTTTTCTCAATTATTCAATTCTGATGCTTAATTCTCTATCGATTATTTCCTATTTACTTTATGTATAGCTTGTCTATATGATGTCTTCACCATTAGATTGTGGGCTCCTCAAAGGCTAGGACTGTCTTTTGTCATTCTTTCTATCTCCAGTGCTTATCCCTGTGCCTGGCTCGTAGAAAGCACTCACTGAATGCTTACTGACTGCCTGTGTAACTCTTGGGGGAGGGATCTGGCCACTAAAGTGTGGTGAAAATAGAAGTCCTTGGCCTTTTGAGGAGCTCTCCTCAACCTCCCTGTCATGATTAGCGATGCCTTCCGAGCCTGGGAAATACAGAGATGGCACTTCAATTTGCAGTATTACATAGCGTGGCATAATATTAAGAACATATAGAAGTCAGTGGGAATCGTGGTGAGCAGCTTTAAGTTTGGAGGAGCTGAGTTCCAGTTCTTACTCAGCTCACTTGCTCCATGTGAGACCCTGGGCAAGTCTCCTATCCTCTCTAGGCCTCTGAGGTTCCTCATCTGTAAAATGAGGGGGTTGGGTTACATTACTTCTTGAAGTCTTTCTTATCTCTGAATCTATGATCCTAAGACTTAGCTTCTACTCCTCATTTTTTTAATTTACTAGTCTGTGACCTTGGGCACAAGTAACAATCTCTCAGAGACTACTTTGATTTCTTCACCTGCAAAATGGGGTTAACAACACACCTGCCTTACTTATTTTACATGCTTAGGGTGGGGATCAAAAGAAATACCGCAAGAAAAAGCCTAGTTAGGTTAACTCCATTGCCATCAGATAAAAATGAACCCCTTCTAAATGTTCCCTCAATTATGTGGGTCAGATATTGCACTTTTGCCTGGAGAGAATTTTCAGACATAGAAGGAGGTAACTGCAAGTCCCGATTTCCTCCCCACCCTCAGCAAAATGGATGAAGTTTGTCTCAGGCCTGTCCCACCTCTCAGGATATCTTCCCCTTTGCAGCCTCTAAGTGTTCAGGTTCTCCCCCAGTAACTTTATTGGCCAGCCAGGACCCCACCAGGGCCAGCCCTTCCCCCTCTCCCTTCCCCACCCCACCCCCCCACTCTAAAATTACCTGCGCTTCCACTGCACCATCAAATCAAAACCTCCATTCCCACAGGTAAGGAGAAAGTAATTTGCCTAATCAGATCAAGTAATTCACATTTCACAGACCTAACCTTCCCTTGAGGGTATTTGCATTTGAAAAAAGCAGCTTTTAGACTATCCAGATTTATCTCTTAATTGTTGGGAAGTGGGAAAAGTGTGGAGACTGAGGGCAGTCTATAGGCTAAGAAAGTCAGTAGAGACTGGAAGACTGCAATTTTATAGTCCAGCCAAGACGCAAAAAGGTGATGTGACCTTGGGCAAGTCACTTAACCTTTTAATGCCCCAAGACACTCTGCATTTATGGGAGGGCGCTTCCTTCCTAAAAAAGGTGGGGGGGAGGGGCAACAGGGGCATAGGCAGCTATGTGGTGCAGTGGATAGAGTACAGCCCTGAAGTAAGGAGGACCTGAGTTTAAATTCAGCCTCAGACTAGCTACGTGACCCTGGGCAAGTCACTTAAGCCCAACTACCTCCCCCCCAAAAGGGGGGGGAGAATATAGGAGATATTTTTGAGCCTGGAAAGCTCCCTGCCTCTTCACAAGCTCTGTGCTCCCCCAACCCAAGACAGAACAGAAGCACACAGGCACTTCTAAGAGTTTGAAGTATCCTCATGAGGCTGATTGCTATCCCATAAGCAAGTAGGGATGGAAAGAGAGGTTCAAGACTGCATGGTGAGATGGAATGTTCATAAGACTGAGAGTAGAGGACTTGGGTTCAAGTCTTTGCTCTGCCATTTATCGATGATGTGACCTTGGGCAAGTCACTTCCTCTAAATTCCCCATCTATAAAAGGAGTTGATTAGAGGAGGTGATCTTCAATCTCCCTTCCCGCTCTTGTTCCTTGATCTATTACTCTGACTCCATCCAAGTCCCAGTCCCTAGTTCCTCAACACAGCCTCCAGACAGTAACAAAGTTTGGGAAAAGACCCCAAAGTTATCAAGTCCCAATTCCACTCTCGGAAAGACTATCCCCTCTTCTAAGTTAGAAGCTGGCTTTGCACCCTTGATCCTAACTTTTACGCTCAGACCAGATTGTATTGAAAGGTCAGAGATGCCCAGGTTCCTGGATCTTCCAGGATCGGGGGCCTTAGGTATAGGTAGGGGTATACACCTTGACTGGCACATATATGCAAAGAAGCAAATCTACACCCCTGCTCCTGTGCAAGCCTTCGCCTTTGCCTCTGCTCCCCGCCCTCCTGAAAGTAGTTTCCTGGCACAACCCAAGTTGGGACAAGGAAGGGGCGGGGGACCCGAGATGACTGTCGTTGGTAACCCCTGCCTGAATCACAGCCCAGTGGACTGGCCAAAAGCCAGCTTCAGTCTGGACCAGGCTGAGCAGGTACAGCTGTTCTGGGAGCCTGACCAAGATTGGGCTAGAGTCAACAGGGGAACCCGTGCCCTTCTGGTGTTGGGGAAGCCGGGCCGAACCTGTGGGCCCCGCCTCCAAGCGCATCCGGCCCCTTCCCCCTGGCAGGTGCATCCTCCCCGGGTGCCGCTTCCTGCCTGTGGCCAGGGTGATGTTGAGCCGAGCTCAGTGTCGATGGGTCCCAGGGTAAGGCATGGTGTAAGAAAAGACAGAAGGGATTCTCACAGTCTCGAGTCAGGCCAGGGGCAGGAGAAAGGCCTCGAAACTCCTGGGCAGGAAGGCAAAGTCCGCTTGTGTCCCTCCCCCGTCCCCCAGGCAGCTTCGGTCAACAGTCCCCAGCTCGCTTATCTCCCGCCGCCGCTGTTTGCCTTCGGGGAGGCCCACTGCAAGGCTGGGGGATGGTAAGAGATTGGGGACAGTTCCCAAGTCCCGGGACCATAATAGGCCTTTCTGTGCTTCACCTAGTCCGTACTTAACCAGGGCCCGAGCCAAAGGCAACCCCTTCACCACAAAGAGTCCAGGACTCTTGCTCCCTCTTGACCCAGGCCTCCCCAGTACCGTATCGAGTCCAGGTAGGAGGCAGGAGACGAGGGAGGGGGAGCAGCGAGTAGCTGCCCCCGCGAGACCCTCCTCACACCTCGAGCTGCGCCCCCGCCTGCCTCTCAGATGTCGGATTTGAGTGGCACAGCGGCCGCCCCCGAACTGCTGCTACAGCTTTTCGAGTAGGGGGGATGGGAATAGAAAGAGGAGATGAGTCGAGACTAAGGCCTAGGAGGGAAGGAGCCCTAAGGAGTCCCATCGCCCCAATTCCGGGGTCGTCCACCCACACACATTCCTTCTTCGGTCTCCTAGTTTCCTATTCCGACTAGGCAGCTTGAAGCCTTCCCAGGTTTTTAGCCCTACCTCAGTCCCTAGAGCAACCTGTCTTGTGCTCAGGCACATCTTGGCAAAGGGAACACGTGTGTGTGTGTGTGTGTGTGTGTGTGTGTGTGTGTGTGTGTGTGTGTGTGCACGCGCGCGCATGCGCGCGCGCGTCCCTCTAAGAAGACTTTTATTCCTTCTCTTGTCATTAACCCCCTCAAAATTCCCAGGAGACAGGTATTTTTAGCTCTAGATGGTGGGGAATTGAGTCACGGAGAGATTACGTACACCAAGTTTGTCGCAAAGTCAGGAACCTCTCCATGGATAGGTTCAGCAGTCATCCGCCACTGCACCCCACTATTCCTACCCCTGTCCTATTCCTTGGCCCAGCTCGTGTACTCCTGCTTCCAAGAGGCCAGAGAAGGTGGCCCTCCATTCTCTGGGTAGGCCAGGAGACACCTGGTCCAGAAAAGCCAGAAAGACCAGGTACTGAGAAAAAAGTTCAAAGGTGCTACTTTTGAACTGAAGGATCTTAACTTCTCCCTCCTCCCTTGTTTAAGTGAGTGCCCCTGGCTTCCCTCCTCCTCTTTTCTCTCCCCACCCCAACCCCACACTCTACTCCATGGGGCTTTTATGTAAGTTCGAAGATGGAACAGCTCTCTCATTCTGGCCTCAGTCAGGAAACATGGGCGCGTATTTCAAGTATTTTATGGTGCTTTGATCAGAAAGAGAAAGGGACAAAAGACCTGGGTATGGAGAAGGGTTAAATGTGTCTCAAGCAGTACCATGGAAAGGGAAATCTTTGATTCCTGAGTTTTTCCGTTTCCTGTAGCCTCCAGCCAAAGAGAAGCAAGGGAGAGTTGCTAAGCCTCAATTTACCTCCTTACAGAATGACCATCCCACCTCACCCCTTCCCCTTTCATCGACTCTCGCAAGTCGAGTCCCAAGGCCTGGACTGAGAGGAAAAGGGGGGTGGTGGTCACCTTTCCTCTGGGCAGATTCTAAGCCCTCCCCCAACTCAAATGGTCTCCTGTTCCCACGTCAGGGAACAAGATGCCTGCCGGGAGCCCAGAGCAGGCGGCGGCGGCTCTGAGAGCAGAAGCCAGGAGAGCCACTCCACACCCACTCGGGAGAAAGAAACCGTAGCAACTGCGGAGGATGGGAAATACGCCGTCCTGGGGTGGGGGAGGTAGCACCCTCCATTCCAAGAGCTCCTGAACCCTTCGCCAGAATAGGACAAGTAAGCCTCGCCAGTACCTGAGACCCCTTCCTCTGAGAGCCAGAACTGGAGTGTTATGTCACGCTTCTCCCATTCAATTCAATGTAATAAACATTTATTAAACGCCTACTGTGGTGTAAGGCCCTGGCTTAGGCACTGAGGATGTAGCTCCAAATTCAAGCTCTTTTTCCCCAGAGCCTACAGGCATATTACGGGGAATCAGTCTTGGGGCAAAAGCTGCTGACCACCTACTCATTCTCCAGATACTCCGTCCCGGAGTTAAGGCGCTGCCAGGATGGCCCATCCCTTGAAGAAGTTTCTGAGACATAATGTCACTTCACCCATTTCCAGGGGCTCTGGGGTCCTCCCTCAAAACCTAGAGGGACTAGTCCACCTAGCCTGGCCCTCCCACTCCTGAGTTGGGGAGCCCATCTCTAATTTTCCCCTACTTCTACCAACACGAGTTCTAGGGCGTATGGGCAGCAGACTGCACCTGGAGCGGGATAGGGACCAAAGAGTAGGGGCGCTGAAGGCTCCTTCTAATGTAGACCAGACCCCAGGTTTAGGGTCCCCCTAGGGCTTGGCTTCCTCGTCTCCCCTCCGATACTCCCAGGACCTTTCTCTGCCAGTCACCTACCAAGGAGGTGATGAGTCCCGCGGGAACAGCCCCCAGTGCTGTCGCCTCTTCTTGCCCTACCCCGCCCCCAAGGTCGACCCTGCCCCGCCCCGGTTCCTGTCGCCGCTTCTCCCCCACCTCCCCGTACCTGGACCACTTCTTCGCTCTGCTCCAGCTGTACGTTGCCGCGGCTCCGGCTCTCGCTGTCGCTCAGCAGATCGTCCTCGGAGTCCTCGGGCAGTGACGAGGAACCGGTGGAGGAGACCGACGAGGTGGAGAGGCGGCGGGGCTGCTGCAGGTGCGTGGAGCCCGCGGTCTTGAGCCAGCCTCCCTCTGGCTCAGGCGGCCCGGGGCTCGACGGAGCCCCATCCGGCTCCTCTGCCGTCACGGTCAGCTGCGGGATCATCACCGGGGCCGGGGCCGGGGCCGGAGCCGGGGCCGGGGCCGGGACCGGGGCCGGGGCTGGATGCGACAGCCCGTTAGGGACCCGTCCTCCGCGCCGCTTACCCCGGGGAGCCCGAGGGCCCCCGGCTGCTGCAGCCGCCGCGGCCGCGGCACACCGAGCCTCGAAGAGCAGGCGCAGCTCCCCGACGCTCCGCCGCGGGGCCCGAGCCAGCGCTGGGCTGCCATGCCCGGGGTCCCCCGGCTGCGCCATGCCCGTCGGGCCACCGGGGAGTGTCATGTCCCGGGCGGAGCAGCAGAAGGCGAGCCCACAGCCCGCGGCGCCGCGGGGACTGGGGATTCTCGGCGCCCACAGCTCCGGTCGCCCCGGGGGGCGGGGCTGCGTGGGGGCGGAGCCACCCCGAACGATCCCCACCCCCGGCCCGCTCCTTTCATTTTCAGAGAAACCCTCGGGCTGGGCAGGGCGGGGCTCTTCGCGGGGTGGAGGGGGGGGCTGGCAGAAATTAGGGCCCCAGCTCCGCCCCGACTCTGGGAAACCCCGCGGGGGACTTCGGGGGAGGGGCCCAGGAGGAGACGCCAAACCTGGGGCCCAGCCCTCCGTGGCGTCCGTGGGGAAGAGGCCCACTTCACAGCCACTCAGTCTCCGCCTCCGGGCGTTTGGCTGAGAGTACCTGGAAGCTTGCCCAGTCCCTAGCACTGCATTCCAAGGCTTCGGGGCTGGAAGCGATTCCGGGAGGTGGGGGCGGGGGGGGTCTGGGGGCTTTTATTCCTGCACAAACCCTCAGCTCAAGGCCACGTGCCTTTATTTCTGTACCCGAGGAGAGCGGGGCGGGCCGGGCCGGAGGAGGAGGAGGAGCCCAGACCTTCCTCGGGCCACCTATTCCTTCACCCGCCTTATCTCTTGCATTCCTTGGCTATTCCTCGGGCAGATCGTTTCCCATTCCTCACTGTCTCCAGTGCTTTTCCAGGCTCCGAGGCAGCCTCGCTGCCCTCCCTTTTCTGCCCAAGGTTCTCTGCCGCCCGACTCCCTTAAAGAGCTCCCACCCTGTGGGCGTGGGCAGGAAAGCAAGGGACTCTGCCCTGGAGAAGGTGCTGAGCTACCTAAGCCAAGGTCTCTTTTCCAGCTAGGTTTCTCCTCCCTTTGGCATAGAACAAGGTCAGGGGGCGGAAACCTTACCTCCCCAGGTACCAAGAGCGTCACCGTGGCCTGGGAGCATAGGCCCATGCTTGAGACCCTGGCAGGCTTGTAGAGGGCAGATAAGCGGTCCCACTGATTGATCTTTAAATCAATATAGATACAATATAGATACAGTATTTGCCCCAGGAACCCAGGGTACACCATATTCTTGTCCCAGATCTCCCATTAACTAATTGTGTCACCCGAGGCAAGTCACTTGAAGGAGTTTCCTAATCTAACAAATAAATTGTAATAAAAAAATACAGCATCTACTTCACAGAGCTGTTGTGAGACAAAATAAGATAAAATATGAAAGCTCTTTTAAAAGACCCTTGCAAATGTTAGGAGATGCTTGACGTAGTAGATAGAGGAAGCTACACCAGGCCTCAAAAAGACCAGGGTTCATGCCACTGATACTTCGTGGGTGACACTGGGCAAGGCTCTGTGAGCCTCCTTTTCCTAACCTATAAAATGAGGATCACTCACCTATCTCACAGAATTGTTATGAGGATCAATGGAGATAATAAATGTAAACCAATTGTATAAGACTATAAATTCAAGCTGTTATTATTGTATGAAATATAGTAAGTCATGGAATATGAGTACTGGAAGGGACCTTGAGAATCCAATTTTACAGATGAAGATAGTGAGGTTGTAACCTCTCTGGGTCTCAGCGTCTTCATCTCTAAAATAACAACAATAACAACAACAACTTAAATTTATGGAGAGCTTTACTATTGACAAATCACTTTCTGGGTGAGGTAAGTACAAGTATCATCCATTTTATAGATGCAGAATCTGAGGCAAGTTAAGTGACTTGCTCAGGGCCACACAGCTGGAATGAAAGGGGTTGTGACTTTGAAAGTGTTCTGTGTCTTTTCTTGTGTGTATTACAACCAAACTGGGCTAATTCTAATAAGGTTAAATTCAACAGGGATTTATATAAAGATGGTGGTCAAGTCCCTTAAACTCTCAGAATTCTAGGAAACGCCCCATTGCGGAGAAGGTGCCAATCTTCATTGGTTATAGAGGGACTTTCCTCACCAGGCAGTTCCCAATACCAGTGAAATCTCAGATCCAGGAACTAACCCTAACCCCGTAATACATCTAAATTATAGGTTCCCTAAGGGCAAAAACCACATCTTTTACCTGATCTACACACACACACACACACACACACACACCCTTTCCCCGATAGTCAACGTGTAAAGATTAATTGGCTGTGCAAGTGGACAGAACTAAAGGAAATAAAAGGGACGCAGACTCTATATTAGGGAAAGAGACCTGATAGACACTGATAAAGATAAAAAGAGGAAAGTTCTCTCATTGTATCAGCTTTATAGGGACAACATAGAACCAAAGTGAACAATGTAGTCTCAGAGTGTAAGAGGAAGGAAATTGGAAGAAAAGAAAGAAATGGAAATTGATAGGAAGAGAAAGCAAAGGAAATACTGAGGGAGAAGAATGAAAGGGAGGAAATGAAGAGAGAGAAAGCTTCCAGGACATGATGCGTCTGGCTCTTCTTCCTAACTATTCCTTGGCACTCCTGTCTCTGGCTAATCTTTTGTGTGTGTGTGTGTGTGTGTGAAAACAATTTAAAAAATTTTTTTTAACTTTTGTTTTTAAAACTTTGGGTTCCAAATTTTCTCCCTTCCTCCCTCCCTACCCACCCTCATTGAGAAGGCAAGCACCTCGATACAGGTTATACATGTGTAGTCATGCAAAACACTTCCATAGTAGTCATGTTGTGAAAAACTAAGTATATTTCCCTTAATCCTATCCTGCCCCCAATTTATTCTATCCTCTCTTTTGACCTTGACCCTCCTTAGAAGTGTTTGCTTCTGATTACCCTCTCCTCTAATCTGCCCTCCCCCTCTATCATCCTCCTGCTCTCTTGTCCACTTTCCCCCCTATTTTCCTGTAGGGTAAGATAGATTTCCATACCCAATTGAATATGTATGTTATTCTCTCCTTAAGCCAAATCCGATGAGAATAAGATTCACTCATTCCCTCTCACCTTCCCCCATTTCCCCTCCAATGTAAAAGCCTTTTCTCGTCTGTTTCATGTGAGATAATTGATCCCATTCTACCTCTCCCTTTCTCCTTCTCTCCACATAGTCCTCTCACCCCCTTAATTTTATTCTCTTTCTGACTAATCTTGTAGGTTTTCTACAAGACTTAACATTGGATTTCTTCTCCCCTTCCTTCACATCCTCTTCTTCGGCTTCACTCTCATGACTTCAACTATTCCTTCTACCCAAATGATCACATCTATGTCTTCATCTGAGACCTCTCGTCCAAGCTCTATACCTAGAGTTTTTCAATTTTTGGCATATGATAGATGGACCCTTTTGGCAGTCTAGTGAAGTCATATGAAGGAAATGCTAAATTTCAGTTAGAGGTCAGTGAAGATAAAGATGCAGTTTTCATCCCATCCAAGTTCATGGACCCCTTGAAATCTAACCATAGACCACTTTGGGGGCTAAGAACTCCAGCTCAAGATCCACAGCTCCAAAGGGCAGCTAGGTGGTGCAGTGGGTAGAGCTCCGGCCTTGGAGTCAGGAGGACCTGAGTTCAAATGCGGCCTCAGACACTTGACACATAGCACATGCTAGCTGTGTGACCCTGGGCAAGTCACTTAACCTCAATTGCCTCACCAGAAAAAAAAAAGATTCACACCTCCAACTTTCTATACAAATATCCACCTGTATGCTTATTGTTATTGTCATTTTTTAGTTGTGTCTGACTCTCCATGACTCTATCTGGGTTTTCTTGGTAGAGATACTGGAGTGGTTTGCCATTTCCTTCTCCAGCTCATTTTGCAGATGAGGAAATTAAGGTAAACAGGGTCAAGTGTATGTTTAGCTCAAGCTAAAAAAAAATCTAAAACTGAATTAACATTTCCATCTGAAAACTGACTGCCCTGTCTCTATCTTTGCTTGCAGCCTTAGGATCATCTCTGCCTTCTCCTTTTCACTCATCCCATGATATCTGTCATACTTCAGGACCTTATCACTTATTACATTCAACTATTGCAGTAACCTCCAAACCGATCTTCAGTCTTTCCCCTCCATTCCATCTTATCATCCATTACTAGGATGATTTATTTAATGCTGTAATATGAATGCATTTGACCCACTGCTCAGAAACTTTTGATTACTGCTCAGTTGACTACAGAATAAGGTCCAAATTACTTAACTTGACATTCAAGGTCCTTATAAAAGTTTGTTGAATGATTGAATCTATGATTCCTAGGATAGGGGATGAGAGGCTTCAAGTAGGAATGGGCTATCTATCAGTCTCTAAGCCTTTCTGAAATTGATTTCTCTTGTAGATGAGGGGACAGGTAGGGAGGATATGGAGGGAAGAAAGAAGGAAGGAAAGAAACAAACATTTATTAAGTGCCTATTATGTTTCAGGTACTATGCTAAGCACTTTACAAGCATTATCTCATTTGATCTTCACAACAGCCTTGTGAAAGAGTTGCTATTATTATCCCCATTTTACAGATGAGGAAACTGAGGCAGACAGAGGTTAAGTGACATGCCCAGGATCACAGAGTTAGTAAGTGTCTGGGACTGGATTTGAATTCAGGTCCTTCTGACTCCAGGCCCAATGCTCTATTGATTTTGCCACCTAGCCCCCACTAAGTTTTGTGGGTGAGGAAGAGGGGGCAAAGCACGCACTTTTGTGGGCAACCGAAGAGCTGAATATCTCCTCTAAAGCCACCAGAGGGCAGGCATAGCCCAAATACAGCTGGACCCCAGACCCCTGGCAGGCCTCATAGTTACTTTCAGCTATTCCCCAGACTTGGGTAATCCCTGCCCTTTACAAGCTGAGTTAGGAGTGTGATTCTAGTTGGAGGCTGGAAAGGAGTATAACTGATTATCCAGAAGCAGGGTTTTGTGAGGGAGAGGAGGAAGGATGCAAACTAACCCAGGAGAAGGCTGGAGGAAACCTGTAAGTGGAGGGCTTCTGAAACAGAAGTAAACTTTGCCTTGCTTGTGTGGTGCCAGACACTGGCCTATTTCTACTACTGATGCAGGACATCCCCTGTGATTGAAATCTTGATAATCCATTTATCCAAGGCAGCTGTGTTTTCTGGAAAAAATTCAGGGAGTTGCCTGGATCAGACCACAAGACCCTTCTAAAGGCTAAAAGCAGTAGTGCTATGGTGCTATTACATTTGTAGGCCCTTAGTGGTATTTCTATAGCCTGGCTGGTAGTCCCCACCCCATTCCCCTTCAGTCCAAGTTCAAGGCCTAAACATGTACATGCGTGTATATATATAGGTAACTATAATTACTATAATTTGATATCATTGGTTTCCCTTGTAATTCTACATATTTCATTTTATGCATGTAAAAGCATTCTGAGGAGGAGGTCCATACGCTTTGCTTGACTACCAGAAGGGTCCATGACACACATACAAAAGATGAGGAAGAATCCCTTCTTTAGCCTCGGAGTGTCCTCTCCCTGTCTTTAGAGGTAAGGATGTCTCTCAGGCTCTGACACTGAAACCCATTTTTCTTTTCTCTGGAATACTTTAACCTTTCCAATCCCAAACAGAAGCATGGGTTTTCCAGGGACCTCCTTCATATAGAATGGGAGGAGGGCATAAAGTGAGGATGGGATGGTAGGACGCCTTAATTGGAGGAGATCCATCTCTCTGAAAAGTTATGTTCCTGAGGGCCCTAAGTCACTCTCATCTACCATGAATAAAATGTGTCACCACTCCTGTGGATGCAGAACAAGAACATTTATTCTTATGACACAGTTAAAAAAAATTCCTAACTGTCTCAGGTGCAAGTTTCCCAGAAGCCTAACGGAGATGGGAGCTGGAAAGAACCTTTGGCAAAATCAGCTGTCCTAGCAGAAGTTCAGGTGAGAAGGTACCAAAGGAACAGAATGTTCAGATATAATTGGTAACCCAAAAGCAAGGATTTGGGAAGGATGGGAGGAAGGAAGGAAAAAGAGTAGGAGGGAGGGAGAGAAGGAAGGAAGGAGGGAAGAAAGGAAGCAAGGAACTAATCCAGGAAGAAAGCTGACAGCAACCCTCTGCTCCTCCCAGAGGGCGTTCCTGTAATAGGAGGTAAATAAACTTTCTCCTACGTATGTATAACAGAGTTATAACTTGGGCTTGGGAAAGGTGTGTGTGGTTTGACATCTAGTGCCTGGGTGTTTGTGGCTGTAAAACTCCTCCTCGCTATCCCCACCCGTAGCAGATTTACGAGCCACTGCAGTGTGACTGAGTTACTCACTGACTGAGTCACAGAAAAGCAAGTTCCCTACGTGAGGGAGCAGCTCCAGCCCCTTGAGGTTTCGAAGCCCAGTTGGGATCCCACTTCTTTACCCTCAGATGGGTTTTATGTTCCAGCCACACTGGCCTCCTCGCGGCACCCTCATTCATCACACTCCACATCTCAACATCTTGCCTTTCCACAGGAGGAATGCCCTTCCCCCGAGTCCCACCTTCCTTTTTGTTTCTTTGAATCCCTAACTCCTTCAAGGATAGTTAGGATTCGAATTCTGCCTCCTACAAAGGTCTTTCCAGATCCACTCCCCACCCCGAGTTTTTAGTGTTTTGATCCAACGAAATTTGCCTTTTCTTTATTTCTTATTTATCTTATATTTACGTTTCTATGTATCTTTGTTTTACACCCAGGTGCACTTAAGCTTCTTGAGGGCAGGCACTGACTGTCTGGTTTTATTTTATCTCTGTACTCCTCCTAACTCTTAGGAGTCAGCCTCCAGCTTCCATCCAGGGCACGATAGTAGTCAGGGGTTCAGTGGATGGTACCCAAAGAGCGTAAAGTCGAGGAAGTAGAGGGTGTAGAGGCCGCCTAGCTGTTCGGAGCTGAGCTGACCCAGGTAGTGGCGAGTGAGCTGGCCGTCCGTGCGCTTCTCGCTCTGGTGCACCTTGATGGAGGGAAAGAGCCCCGTGACGGGGATTCCCAGGAAGCGCAGCGCGTGACCCGCCTCCGAGCTCAAGCTCTCGTGCCGAATCAGCACACCGTAGCGCACGCTGCAAGGCGAGCAGAGCAGCTCTATGGGCTTCCAGTGGACGTCCAGCTTGGCGGGCGACTGCCGCAGCACGAAAGTCACGAACTCGGGGAAGGTGAGGTTGCGCTGGTTCTCCGGGTCTCGGGACCCGCGGACGGCCGTGCGCATTCTGGCTGCCAGGTGCATGTAGTAGGGCTCCGAGTGCAGCAGCTTGTCTCGGTAGGCGGAGACGAGGCGCTCCAGAGGGTGGCGGGTGACCAGCACCGGGGTGTAGTGCTTCAACCTGAGGTCGCACTCGCGGGGCTGGAAGGAGCTGAGCCGCTGCAGGAGGCGCGTGTGGTGCAGGCTGTCGGACTCCACCTCAGCCGGGTCCCAGCGGCTCAGGTTGAGGGTGAGCAGCAGGAGCACCCGCCTCCAGTTGGAGCAGCCCGCCTTAGGCACCTCGCAGAACAGCAGGCGGTGGTTGGGCTCCACCAGCAGCTGCCGGACTACTTGCTTGGGCAAGGGGTGACTGCGGGGCTTCCAGAGTCCATGCTTCTTGCAGGCGGCGCTCAGATGCTCCTGGCGGAGCTGCTGCGTGCGCTGCCAGGGGCTGTAGGTGTCTGTGCGGATAGGGAAGGATGGGGTGGCATCAGAGCCCAGGACCTGGAGTCCGGACGTCCTGAGTTCGAATGCTGTCCCGGTCATTTAGCTGGGTGACCCCAGGCAAGTAATTTAAACCCCTCCGTGCCTTAGTTTCCCCATCTGTAAAATGAGGATAATAGTAGCACCTACGTCTCAGGGCTGTGGCGATCAAACGAGTTAACCATACGTAAAGCGTTTTGCAAACCTTAAAGCGCTATATAAACACTTTACTACCGATATTACTATCACTATTAGGGGGATGCCTGCTTACTCCACAATTTTCTCATTTTACAGAAGAGGAAACTCAGAAATCAAATACGGCTCTTGCTTTTCAAGGAATTTACAAATAAGCAATCTCGCTAGCGAAGCATTGGGGTGTAGCCAGCCGTCAAGCCAGGAAGGTGTGGGTTCAAATTCCTTTTTTGACTCATAGTCTGGGTGACGACGGACAAGTCACTTAATTAACTTCTCAGTGACCTCAAGCAATTATAATTTAGTCTTAGAAAATAAATTGGTTAGTAGAAGGGATTTCCTTACAAGGAGTTCTATTACCACCCTCCAAAAAAAAAAAAGGAAAGGAAAGAAATGTGGCTATATACCCGATTAGGCCCTTATTTCCCTCCACCGAACCTTCGCCTGAGTTACTTACCAGTTGTGGGGGTCTCCAGCTGGCGGTAATAGATCCAGAGCAACAGGAGACACAGTCCAAAAACACACTGCAGTTTGTAGGACAGTTGGCCCATCCTGACTTTCAGGGGCTCTGGGGAACCTACAGAATGGAATCAGGAGGACCAGAGATGGGGAGTCAGCACCATGCATTCTCCTTCCCTCCTTACCCCCACGGGGCTACAGGGATTCCAGGGCTTTGCTCCTGGCCCTTTCCTTCCCTCTCCACTGTCTCCCCCACTCCCTTGTGCCCCAGAGTTTCTGCCAAACAACTCAGGCTGATGTCCAGGGGCTTGTTTCTCTCGCGGCGCGGCGGCGGCGGCGGCGGCGGTGGTAGGGAGCATTTCATAAGATTGGGAACTGGAAAGAGCCTTATCTAGTCCAATTTCCCTCATTTTAGAGATAAGGAAATTGAGACTCAGAGAAGTTGTAGACTTACTGGAGGTCACACAGGGACTAAATGGTGGATATGGCATTTGAACCCAAACCCTTGTGATTCCAAATCCACCTTGGCACAGATATCTTCAGTAAGCACTCCTCTACTGGTCCAGGCTCCAAACACTTCACTCCCTTGTCCTTTTTTTCTGAGGGCTGGACCTGTCCTCACAACTCTGGGAAGTAAGAGGCAAGTGCTATTGTTATCCAAGTTTTACAGATGAGGAATCTTGAGACAGACTTGACCCGGGTCACATAGCTAGCCAGGATCACTTATTAACAGGTTTATTATCCTGAGGGTTCACTTTATTAGGGGGAAAGAGGGAATTGAGGAGAGGGTCCTTAGGCAGTAGGGGTTTTTTTTGGGGGGGAGATGAATTATAAAAGGGACAACCTCCTTAAACTGTGGCTGCCACAAGACAACCTGTGAATACACAATACAAAATTCTGGAGCTCTGGAAAATCATCTTCTCTATCTCTGTCTCTCCATCTCTCTGTCTCTCTCCCTCCCTCCTCCTCCTCTTCCTCCTCTTCTCCTCTCCCTTTTCTCCCTCTCCTCTCCTCTCTTCTCTCTTTTTCTGCCTCCCTCTTCTCTCCTCCTCCCCCTTCCACCTTCTCTCCTTTTTTCCTCTTTTATCTCCTCTCTCTTCTCCTTTCCCTCTTCTCTCTCCCCTCACATCTCTCCCCTTTCTCTCCTCTCCTTTCCCCTCCACTCTCCTCCTCTCCTCTCCTCTCTCTGTCTGTTCTTCTGTCTCTTTGTCTTTCTCTCTATTTGTCTCTTTCTAATAAAACTCTTTTTGAAAAATGTCAATCTTGTCCCCATTGATTTGAAGATAGAAGGAGCTTTTGGACCACCCTTAGCCCTGGAGAAGTAGAGAGAACAGAGCCTCCTCTAAAGGCAGCAGCTGGATCCAATCCAAGCCAACCAGCCTTGATTAATGAATCAACAAACATTTATGAATGCAGCCAGGCCCTACGCTATTCCCTGGGAATACAAGTGAAAAGCAAAAAACCAAACCACTTACTACATGCTAAGTGCTGGAGATATAAGAACCAAAGGAAGAAGAGTCCCTGTCCTCAAAGAGCTGACATTTTACTGGGAAGCTCTGGCACATACATACTTGCACCCCGGTACCTGCACATAGACCTCTCTGAGTTGCTTTGTCTCTGAGAAAAGTAAACACTGAGCAGAGGGGACAAAAAGCACCGCTATTGCTAAGCCTTTTCTACCTGGGAGAATTAAGTTCCTGGTTCAACTCTACTTCTAGCTCAGGACTTCACCTTACTCTTGGCCAGCTTGACAGCCGGTCCTCCAGGCTGCTGGGAACAGCACTGCAGTGGTGGCTAGGTTAAATCTAATCGCTGAACTCCTCCTGTGTTCTGGGTTTCAGCCTAAGGGCTTAATTAACTTCCCTTTCCATAAGTGCCCTCCTTGTGGGCTCCCCAATGGTGGCTCCGACTAGGCAGTACGAGAAGGAGGTCAAAATAGCCTTGGGCCTAGGCAGAATCATGGGGGGGGGAGTGAAGGGGGGGGAGCTGTGATCCAGGACTGATACATGGAGGTGGTGAGGGGAGCATTTCTTGAGGCATCCATAGGTTTTGGCTTCTGCACTCAGAGAGTGGGTGAGGAAGGAGAGGATGGGGAGTTTGAGGGTGAAGGAGACTCAGGAGAGGGCAAAGGAGTGAGGTTTCAGACCAGAGGAGGATGAAGATTGTGGAACAAGATGCCTTCTCTCCCAGTCAGCTGCACAGGCAGTTTAAGACTTTGTACTCAGACTCCTTTCCCATCCCTCTCCCCAAAAATGTTTTTGCCCCAGATGGAAAAAAAAAAGCCAAGTCACAGCTCTAGGTTCAGGTATCCCAAGGAAAGAGTTTCTGGAGCATTCCCAAGTCTCATCTGGAATGTGATGTCAGAGTAGCCACAGGAAGCTCTCAAGGGAGAAGTTGAAGAAGCTCCTGGATGGGGCTAAGTGAGTGGAAGGGACCAGGAATCAAAAAATGAAGCCTGCCCTGGGAATGTGGAGAAAGGTCTGGGAGGGGTCTTGAGATCCACCGAGTGCAGGGATCTCCTCTGGACACTGTATCACAGCCCACCCTACCTTGGACAGACACACCCTGGCTCTCCAGCCCAGCCTTGGGAGCTGGCTGAACATCACCTTCCCTAGCTAGAGGTTCAGCCCCTCTGCTTCCCCTGCCCACCAAGCTGGCTCTTCTGGCAGGACGAGGCAGAGTCACTGCTCTGCCCTCTCAGATTCGGGGAAGGGGGTGTGTGCAAATCCTCAGCCTTATCAGTCCAAGTTATGTGGATGTGAAGGGAAACTTCTTTGATATGTTTCTTGTCTCCCAGAGCTCCCTGCCCCCCCCACCCCATAACTGCTCTGGCTGCTCCTTAGAGATTATCTAGCCTATTTTTTTTTATAGAAGTGGAGAAAAGGGGTAGCCTGAGGTAGTAGAGTAGGAAGACCTGCTTTCAGCTCCCTCTTCAGCCACTGAGTCCCTCTGTGACTTTTGACAAGTCACTTAATTTCTCTGGGCCTCCATTTCGCTCTCTGTAAAAATGAAGGGGGTGAGTTTGGAACATATAACCTGTAAGGTCCTTTCTAGCTCCAAATCTATGCTCTTGTAGCCTAACACTTTTCGTTTATAGATGAGAAAACAGAAGCCCAGAGAGGTTATGACTGCTCAAGCCACACAGTAAGTGGCAGAAATGGAATACGACCCAGATGGGTCATTTGAATCCAACACCACCACACGCCTTTTCAGCCCAGACCCCACTTACTTCCTAGCTAGCACCCTCAGCCTGTGGCCTTTGCCGGGCCAACGGACGAAGTGTGATGTGGCAGTAAACAAAATGAAAGCCCGCACCTGAGTTCTAGGCATAGCTGTGACTATACTCTGTGACTTTGAGCAAGCCCTTCCTTCTCTAGAACTCAGTGTATTTATCTGAGGAAAAAACAAACAAACCGACAAGATAATCTCCGAGCTCCCTTCCATCTATTACCCTGTTCTGAGATGTTCAGCCCAACATTTCTTCTTCCTACCCCCCAAGCCACTTTTGGGTTCCTTCAGGTCCTCAGAGCCCGTGTTAGACTGTTCACCCAGAGGACTTTCCTTACTCTTACTACTTTTTTGTCTTGGAATCCTAATCTTCATAGTAGAAACAGGAATTCTTGCCAGAGATTTTTTATTTTTTATTTTGATTTTACTATTTCTCCTTTCTTCTTTTCCCACTTACACATTCCCTGGGACCTTAAAACTTTGTCCCTTGGATTTGACTGCTGGGTTACCTTCCCAGGTGTGGGCTGGCAACACAGGTTGTCTTTTGTCTATCTAGAGGGTTTGGTCCAGAACCAAAGTCTTCTCTTCTTGTCTGGGCTGCAGGGATGTTTGCTGTTTATACCTGGCCTCCTAACTTTGGGGCCCTGGCTGGCTCCCCCATGGCCCTGAGGACCTTCCTCCTTTCCCATCTTCATCCCACCCACCACCCTAACCCTAACCCATCTTCAAGTCAGTCAGATCCGGTCCAACCTGACCTTGGGAATTTCCAGATCCCCCGCTGAAAACAATGCTTGGGAAAAGCACCCTGCAGCTCCCAGCTCTGCCAGCTTCTGCTCCCCCACCAATAGGGGCAGTGCCTATTTCTGAGCCAAGCCCTTCCAGCAGAGGGAGGGGAAGAGGGATGGGCTTCAACCTCCTTATCCCATTTGGGCTGAAGGAGTAAAAACCAACTGAGAAGAGGGTAAGAATGAGCTAGTGCAAGGCCCGGTATATTCATAAGTCTATTTGGGCTGCTGTGGGTGTATGTAAGCAGGGAGGGAATCCTCCGAAGAGGAAAATAAGGATTCAGGAACTTAGGAAATTGCCTCAGCTTTTTGGAGCAACATGGTAAAGAACAAGTCTCATAGCTTCCCAAGCTAGTATGTGTCAGACCGGATTAAGGATTCCCTCCCCCAGGACAGGATGTTCTCTGGAAACTTTCTCTCACAAAACCTGACACCGAGAAATGCAGTCCATTAAACTCAAGTATAGCTTGAGGCTGCAGAAACAATACTAGGCAGGGTCCCACCTGCCACTCACCGTGACCTCTCCATCTCCTCTCACCAGGGCTGATGTCCAAATGAACCTATTTTCTCAACTTCCTAGATAAATTCAGACTAAGTGATTTCTGTAGAATCGCGTCAGGACTATCACCTTACAATAGGGTTGGGTCTTAGAACTATATAGTCCTTCCCTCTAAGAGCTTTGGAACGAGTTAATACCTTCTTTGAATATAATGTATGATTCATAATCCTATAGCCTATGGGTGATGACTCTGGTACCCAACGGGGCTTTCTTGGTGCTTAGCTCAGCTGAAGGCTGGAAAGACTCTCCTCTTTTAATTAAATGTAGGTTCTGCAAACCAGTGTGCTGGTAAGACTGGAGAGAGGAATGGAGCCATCTTACAGTACGGGAGGAAGGCAGCAATTTTTAGTTTGAGAGCCATCTCTCACAAAGCTTATACTCTCTGCAGTGTGTGAGGGGGTCAGGGGGCATCACAATACAGCTGGTGAAGAAAGCAGCAGTATTATGTTCTCTCCCACTATACTGAGAAGAGCCTTTGCAGAATATCTAAGGTAGGACATTTACTATTTTCCAAGCCAACTAGTTGCCTTACTGTTTTGAGGGTAATGAAAGGATGATGGGAGTGGATCTTAGGAAGCCAGGTTGCTTAAGGGTTGAAAAATGGGAAAGCTTCTGGGCCCCTCACCTTTGGCCTAAGAGCAAAAGGAAGTGAAGCAATAGGAGAAAAAGGAGATGAATTCTTAAGCTTTTAGGACACAGCCCTGTGACACACTTTGCCACTTGGGATGTAATCATCGGATTAAATCTGATCCCCTTGTTAAAACAGGGCATAAAGTTTATTTACAGA